TTGGCAGTGGCAGGACTTGGAATCGACACACCCCATTCCCCAGTGATCCATGCGGGTATTCAGCATCGCCACCCCACACTAGGAGAGAGAGCCGGTGCCCACACTTGTCGCACACGGGTATTCAGCATCGCTTCTTGTGGCTTTTCCTTCCTCTCTAGCGTGGAAGGCAAAGGAATAAGAGGGTGAAGGGATGTCTGTTTTCTAGGACATCCCTAATTACCACAGCCCTTGCAAAGTCACCTGTCTTGTGGCTAGCTTTTCCACTTCTCTCCAGGCATCCCTTCACCCTCTTCTTACTTTGCCTTCCTGATAATCCTCTTCTCTGACCAATTGGTGGAAGAAGCTTGAACCCCTTATCCACTTCTAGGCACCGACTCTTATTAGTGATGACATGAATCATTCCTACATAGGTTGTAGGGAACCTCTGCACTGAGTAGGCAACATCCACATATTTCTCCATATCTGGCTGACTTTCGGTTGTTATAACTAATAGTGCATGGGGACAGGGCTTGCCACTCACTTGTAACTCCCTACATGTACACATGTGCTGGTCTAGGTACACAACATGCATCTTTACATCTTCATCATTGCATATGAGTGTGACCTCTGCTTGGTTTGGTCCTACCTTAGTAGCCTTCAAATAGGCCACCCTCTTTGAAGCTACATTACTGTAACACCCTAGAATCCACAAACATCCCGAGATGCTACTAAACTATACAAAACATTAGCCGCACATAGCAAAAAAATAGGATTTTGGTAACAATTCCTTTGTATTTATAAGTAACATGAAAGAGAGGTATATAGATAACCAATAAGCACCAAATTATAATTAACGAACAACCTAACAAAAGTATAAGATACTCCAACAAGAATAAGTTTGACGACCACACTTTGGACATTTGTTCTTAAGCCTAATGAACAAAACTAAATTATTAAACTTTTAGACATGAATTCTCTAAATGAAGAAGTGTGAGACGTGCAGCTAATCCCCTTACCTTCCAAGCAAACATCACATACCTGGATAGAGTAAAGCAAGGGTGAGATGAAACATGTTAGCAAGCAAATTTGTTTTGACAAGCCATTTTAACCACAAGTTAAATTAAACAATGATTTAACCTGGAGTTCCACTTATAGAACAAACAAGATATAATATCAATATAAATGATTGACTTCCAATTTAGAACATTGCTATATGATAGAGCTTCATGATGACAAGGGCATGTCACTTTAATATCCTCTACGAATGCATATGAATGCAATGCAAAATGACTCCTGCCTACACACCCAACAAGGTGTGGAGCTTCATCCCATGATGTTGTACCGGTACAGTCGTGACCATAGGTCAACAACATAACTTCCAATGCAAATCAATGATGCAATGCACTTGGCATGCTGCAATAAAATTAACACAAACCACCAATGATACTTCAACTACATCTTCAAGGTTATGGGCTAACCACGTATTGAAATATGAAATAATAGCATCACCATAAATAAATAAATAATACCACAATTAAATAATGTTGAATAATCAAATATCACAAGGTTTGGTTATTAGTGGTATGACATTATTATAAACATGATGAAAATAACAAGCCAAAATGGTGGCAAACCACCGCTACATTCACTTGCCTTCAACCTGTTTGAGGATACAAACTCATCACATAAACATGTGCAAACAGTAGGCAAAGCGCTCCTACGGTCCAACCCCATAAACAAGTAAAACGAGTATTGGTTTTTAACTAATTGCAGCAGCACTGCTTCACAATTTTATATCTTTTGATTTATAATAGGTATGATAGAAAACAAATACATAGTAGCAATCTACAGAAAAACCTATAACTTTTATTTAGTTACTTTAATTTGATTCTAGATGCTACAAGGTGCAAATTGCAGCGTAAAACAGACTATAACAACTCTCCAACGGTTTCAGGCAGCTTAGGATAAAAGAACCATATATCCTAAACCACTTGCCAAAAAAATCTGAAATTTCACAAAACCATATAACATTAGGTGAGCAACAACTTTGTAGTTGTAAATATTCAGATATTTAATCATTAAGGTCCCCTAAAATTGGGCCATGTCTCTGTTAACACTTTCTGAACATTCAGAAAACAACAGTTGATTCTACCATCCATATCTGAAGAAACAATCTGCGAAAAATACTAAATTTTCTACAAAATAAAGATAATTAAATTATGTACAACTTTCTTATTATCCATATTCGGAGAAAAAGTCGTTTTAAGGGCCGAAACCATAGAAACAGCCACGCTAGTCAAGCTGTCAATCAACAGAATCTACATCAGAACCCTAATGATGATTCTACCTCCTCTAAACAGCAAACCCCAAGATCAAGAAGCATCTAATATGTGCAGCAACAAAAAGGGTGGGGGAAAAGCCGATCTGCGTCCAATATGCAGCACTTCATCAATCCATCTTCTCTTCAATCCAATTTGCTCATTTTCCCATCATAATTTCTGCTGTGTGGGAGGTGATAGGGAAGGAGAAGAGGTCGTGAAAAGAAGAGGAAGGCGTCCTAGGGTTGAGCAGAGGAAGAAGGGAAGGGGAAACGTGTGTTTCCTGCTGCACGCCCTCCCTTTATAGGCTTTAGATGATTGGGACAAGTTAGGCTTAAGGTGGGCTGCCCAGATAGCCTGGCCTAAATTTATTTGGCCTCCTCTAAAGCTATTTTTTTCTTTAATTTTGTTTCTTCTATTAGGTATTACAATTTTTGTTTTGGGGCATTACAATTAAGCTGGTGCACTATTTGATGTCATAAATCTTTGTAATTCTCTTTATAATTTTAGTCAAACTTGATATGCTTTGACTCTCAAAAAAGTTAAAATTTCTTATAATTTAGAACAGAGAAAGTACCATTTTTTTTACTTAAAAGATGAAACCATCTTGAAAACCAGTTCTAACCTCTGCAGGTAGGTCATTTAAAAGGTTGAAAATTGAGTAAGATATCTGATTTTAAAGTTGGAGAAGAAAAGTCAGACCATGGAAATCAAGTATTTATGTATCAACCTGGATTTCTCGAATCAATACAGCTCAAAGGAGAATCAAATATAAAATGTTTTGCTTTATATCACGTAAAACATATGGGGCATGTGTGTGGTCCCCTTATGTTATTGGAGACCTGGGTTCAAGTCTTGTGTCGTCAAGTTTTAGGCGTTTTTTCACAGAGAGTTGTTTTTTGTCATTGGAACTACCAAGTTGGGGAGGGGACGTCTTTGAAGACCAACAATGCTCAACAGTATGGATGAAAACCGAACTGTGGTCCCCTTATTCGAACCCAGACCTGGGTTCAAGTCTTGTGTCAAACTGAAGTTTTAGGCGGGAGGCGTTTCAAAAGGCTAAATTGTTTTTTTCATATTAGGACTACCAAACCATCTTGAAAACCAGTTTTAACCTCTGTAGAAGGTCATTTAAAAGGTTGAAAATTGAGTAAAATATGGATGATTTCCAAACTGAAAAGGAAATTCAACCATGGCAAAAGCTAGGAATTCAACCCAAACTAGAAAAGGAACAAGGGTCTGTTTGCATTGGCATATAAAAAAAGGGGTCACTATTGTCTCCTAAATTTTGGCCTCTTTATTATTATGTATAGAAAATAGGAAACCATCTTGAAAACCAGTTGATTCTCTTTACTAAGGTCATTTCCATCCATTGAAAATTGAGTAAGATATCCTCATTTTAAAGAACTGGAGAATGGAATCAGCAGTCGGAGAGGAAATCAAGTATTTATGTATCACCACCAACGTTTCTTGGAATCAATACTGACCTGACCTTGGCGCCAACAGAGAATCAAATATAAAACGTTTTGCTTTATAAACGTGAACCAAAACATATATACGACGTAGTACGACTAGGAACCAAAACCATTGGTGGCGGTGCTACGTTCACTTACGGGTCGTCCGTGGTCGGCGACTTTTCGTCCCTGTAGAGAAAATTTTTTGCCGGCTGAGACCCGGTGAAAATACGTACGACCCGGCCAACAAGCAGCCCATTAGCACGTCTAACTGTCTCAGTAGCCCATTCCCAGCAGTTGCATGTTAGATTGGAGACCCAAACGTTCTTGTCTTGTGTCATGAAGTTTTAGGTGTATTTTTTCATCTTTTCATGCTAGTTGTTTTTGTCATTTAAGGGACTACCAAGTTTGTGAGAGAAAAAATCGTTTTGGTTGGAAATTTACGATCGCGGAACACAGCCGCGCTCAAACGTAAAAAGCTGGATGAAAACCAAACTGAAAAGGAAATTCTCTGCGGGGGCTATTGAAATTGAAGGAATTGAATCCAAACCGCAAAAGGAATTCGGAGGAGGCGAAAAAAAAAAAACGTTCACTGGCCTCCATTTTCCTTGTCTCCTATTATGTATAGAAAATTAAAACCATCTTGAAAACCAGTTTTAACCTCTGTCGGTAGGTCATTTAAAAGGTTCTAATCTATGAGTAATTTATTTTTTGAGTTGGAGAAGTAAAGGCAGATATGGCTAATTTGATAGAGCTATCCAAATTGGAAGGACTCTTTAAAAAAATTAACAAGGGTCTGTTTGCATTGGCATATATGCTTTGACACTTCACTATTGTCAAGAACATGGAGATGTCCCTGCAGCCCATGTAATGCATAATAGGCCTTTCCATCTGGGCTTTTTGATTCTGAAAATTGTGAAACAGGCCTTTCCATCCATTCATCAACATGAATCTATACAATGATTATCCTCATTCCGTCCAGAACTGGAGAATGGAATCAATTAGTCGGAGAGATAGAGACACATGGCAGCAGAGACACCACCACCAACGTGGAAATTGGAATGCTGTTGCTGACCTGACCTTATTTTGTCACAACAGTAGCTATCAGCATCACAAATGCTTTATTATTATCAGAAACGTGAACCAAACCATAGTACATATATATCGACGGCAGCCATTTTTCTGACTTCGGAACCAAAACCATATATATGCCATGCATGCGAGTGGATATGTGGAAAATGGCAGCAGCTTAGTCATTTCTACCGCCGTCAAAGACGAAGTAGCCACGCAGCGCCATGGCGATAGCCTCGCCGAGAGTAGCCGCTGCAGGGAAGCGGTCGGCGACGAGAGCCAGCAGGACGAGCCATATGCCGAGGAGGGAGAGCAGGAACGCGAGGAGCGCGTACGCCGGCTCGTCGCCGGTACGAGTACGACTACCACCGCCAGAGGGGCTGGGGGCGCCGTAGTAGATGACGATGGACCCGGCTGTGGAGACGAGGAAGACGGCGGCGTTGGTGATCAGCTGGGCCCGGACACGGAGGCGGCGTCGGTTGGCGAGGTCGATGGCGTGTCGTCGTCCGAGCATGGCGGCGGCCATGCGAAGGTCGACTCCGGCCGGGTTCGCCATTCCGGCCGCTCGGGATCGGAGAGCCGGAGACTCGGAGAGCGTGCTGCGCGCGGATGGACGGGACCCTGGAGGTGGTGCCGCTAGCTTACCTTGCCGCTCAGATGATATGATTTCCCCTACTACTAGTATATATAGGGCTAGCAAACCAATAGGGTTCTATTTGAGTAAGTACAGTGAATCGGACTGAACCAGCTGATTGTCATTGTCAGGCTACTGATGTTTGGATGCTACCCTGGAGCTGGAGCAGTTGCCTGGATATTTCACCTTTGTGTGCTGTCTGTTATTGAGTAGAAAATTGCCTAGTCAGGCAGACTAGTATTGTTTGGTTTAGAAACTGAAATCATGCTTGTGTGAAGAAAAGTGACAGGCAGCGTTTGGTGGAAGTGCTTCCTGCGATGTGAATGGCTTGATTAGGCCCAGGCAAGTTGGATGGGAGCCAGGCGACCGATTTTGTAAGCCTGGCAGTTCTGGTTTGACTTTAAATTATTTTTAATGTTTAATGCTTTTAAATTCTTATCATAAAAATAGCCCCATCTATTTTTTTATTTTTATTTTTGTCCTTAGCGTGACAAAATCATGTTGTCGCACCGTATACAACAAGATTTACGTTAGACGGTAATTTTCTCACGAAAAACCTTATCACGTCACTTCCGTCGGCACGTCAGTACTGTTTCGGTGGCGTCGGTTGGCTGTCATCGTTGTAGCATGGCAGTGGGCATGTGCTGGTCGACTGCCGCCGGATTCGCTGTTCCGGACGCTCAGGAGGGCGTGCAGCCTACGGATGGACAGTACTAGTGACGGGGACGGGGTAGGGCCTCATCTTTTCAGACACGAGAAGCCACGCCCGATGCCCATGACTTTCTTTTTCACGATGACGCCTGCACCGGGTTTTTTTTTTTTTGAGATTAAACGCTACAGCTTTCTTTTTTTGGGTCTGCTTTCTTTTCTTTGGTTTGGCTTTTGGTTGGTCTGATTTTTTTTGAATGACGCTTGCCAACAAAATCCAATGTTTTTTTTAAGATTACGGGCCGATGGACTCTCGCTCACGTGCGATTCCATATTTTTCTCATAAAAAAAACGTGCGATTCCACATTTCCATTGCCGTAACCGTGAGCCGTGACGTCACCACGGCAACCCATAAAGTCCACCTCCGGCCTCCCTCAGTTTTTTTCACCAACCCGATCTCCCTCAATCCCAATCGCGAAGTCACCGCACCGCCGCCGCCTCCTTCCGCACGTCAGTCCCAGTCTCAGCGAAAAAAAATTGATGTGATTTTTATAGTACAAGAAATCATCTTAGAAACTACCTTCCACAATGAAGATGTTTTTGTATAATAATTTTTTTCTTTTTCTCTCTCCCAACTCTATCTTCTTTCTTCAATAAAAGTGTGGCACGAACCCCTTAGAAACTGGTGGTTTCTCCCTAATGACGATCTCATGGTTTCTTGGTGTATTGGGTCAAGAGAAGATCTGATTTCTTCATTAGAAAACTATTTCTAGGATTTTTGTTCTCTTTCTTTATTAATTACGTTGCCATGTCAGTATTTTTTTACGTGGCAAGTCATTTAACAAAGATAAAAACCATCGTTAACACACTATTCAAACTTACCTAAGCAGGGCGTGCAGCCTACGGATGGACAGTACTAGTGACGGGGACGGGGCAGGGCCTCATCTTTTCAGACATGTGCTGGTCGACTGCCGCCGGATTCGGAGAAGCCACGCCCGATGCCCATGGCTTTCTTTTTCACGATGACGCCTGCACCGGGTTTTTTTAATTAAACACTACAACTTTCTTTTTTACAATGACGCTTGCACCAGTTTTTTTTTTAAGACCAGGTAGCGTGTTCGTATGTTGCTACAGGATAACTAAATTTTTTATACTAAAAATACATAGATCGTATCATAAAATAACAATACTGTTAAATTAAATACCGACGTCATAGTGATATTTAATTCAAAAAGTAAAGTTCGTGAAATTAACATAGTCACGGAGAACGCGACGTCGCAGGCTCACAAACTCTGTTGTATAGACTTTTTCATGATACGGCTAAGATAATATTTATATCGGCCGAAAGAATTCTACGATATTCATTTCTTTCATACACCAATAAATCCATAAATAAGTTCCACTGCATCTTCATATAATCATGTACACATATATTCGAGTATATATGTAAATAGGTTCGTGTCCGTGCATTGCTACGGGACAGCTAAACTTTTGTACTAAAAACACACGAATCGCACGATAAGATAACAATACTGTAAAAGTATATGACCGACGTTAAAGTGACATTTAATCCAAAAAGCTAAGTTCGTGAAATTTACACAGTCACAGAGAGCATGGTGTCGTAGGCTCACAAACTCTACTGTGTAGATCTTTCCGTGATGTGGCTAAGATCATTTTTTATACCGGCGGTAAGAGATTTCTGATATCAATTTCTTTCGTGCGCCAACAAATCCACGAATAAGTTCCACCACATCTCCATACCATCCGCGCTGGCAAGCGAATTAGCCACAACTTATGTAATTAGTTTTATAATTAGCTCATGTTTAGTCCTCCTAATTGATATCTAAAAATTCAATGTGACAGGGACTAAAGTTTAGGCCTGGGATTCAAACACCCCCTAACTCTCGACTCCTGCTAGCTACTCATTTACACCACCATGCCTATGTGTCTGCACGTATATACTCTAATGACAAAACGTCTAAGATGGTCTTTATTGTCCACCCTTTGAAAATATCATAACTTTAAGGTTGTCATTTGTGTATGCTGTAGGATTAGGATGCTTTGCACTGATCCATGAGGGTGTCCATGAGAGTCGAAATTTTTTATGCCATTATGATGTCTAAGCTTACCAATCAGACAGAGACAAACTTGATTGTTAAAATGTTTTCAACACTGCTTTCATATACTCCCTCTGTCCTAAAATAGAATTCATTCTCACTTCTCGAAAAGTCAACTTTTTTTAACTTCGATAATTATATATAAAATAATATTAATATTTATAATACATAATTAGTATCATTACATAGACCATTGAATATATTTTCATAATAAACTTATTTAGAGATATAAATGTTGCACGTATTTTTTACAAACCTAGTCAAAGTTGAAAAAGTTTAACCTGCACACATCCTATAACGACTTATATTTTAGGGCAGAGAAAGTATATGCTAATAGGAGTAGTCAACTGGAAGTTGTGATGAACACAACAATACTTTCATATTATATGCTAATTGAAGCATTAAGAAACGCAGGGGAATGGACATATATACGAATGGTGGGAATATTCATTTAGGAAATTACAAAAGGTTCACTAGTCTCACCATGTATAACATGCACATCTTTTATTTGGCACCACTGATGTTCTCAAGGAGCAGCCACTTTTTAATTTCAGGTCTACATGCTGGAAACACTAAAATTAAGGGTCAACCTCATTGAGTCGTCTTGCTTGATCTTTACCAATTGTTTCCTTCCATGCATGATTATTGTTTCCTTCCATGCATGTGGCCTCAGGTGATCGATTTGTTTCCTTCAAAGCGGCGGGGATCGCAGGGATGGCAGTTTCTTTTTCTATCGCGCAGGGTATCGCATGGCCGGAAGGGAGGAGTCTTGCTTGATCTTTGTCAATTGTTTCCTTTCATGCATGATTATTGTTTCCTTCCATGCATGTGGCCTCAGGTGTTCGATTTGTTTTCTTCAAAGCAGGCGGGGATCGCAGGGATGGCAGTTTCTTTTTCTATCGCGGGGTATCGCATGGCCGGAAGAGAGGAGCGACCCCAAAAAAAAGTCGCACAAAAAAATAATCTTACTTTTAGTCTTTTTAGTTGTAGAATATTACGGTACAACACTCACCTCTATGAACGGACGCACAAAACCTTATCCTATGAACACCCTCGAAGAAGGGGCCGACATATCCTCGAGACGAGGTTGCCTCGTTGTCGAGGAGAGCGTCGCCTGCTACTAAAATAACAAAATTGTTAAATCCTAGAATATTTACTCGCACAAGGAGTAGAACCTAAGATCTTAAGTGTTATTGAGGCTCTTGTAACTATTAGAGTACATAACCTTTCGTGCAGAAGTCTGGTCAGTCTTTTCTACTACTATTTATTTATTTACAGAAGATGGGATCCAGAAGTCTGGTCAGTCTTTTCTACTACTATTTATTTATTTACAGAAGATGGGATCCAGAAGTCTGGTCAGTCTTTTCTACTACTCTCAGATGGCCGGCTTCTTCTTCTTTTCTTTTTTTTACAAATCTCTCAAATGGCCGGCCTGTTGACCCTAGTACGTGGCCTCTTCCACAAGGGATGTTTGTTTGTCCAACATGCATTACCATAGTACGTGGCCTCTTCCACAAGGGATGTTTGTTTGTCCAACGATGACGCCTGCTGCCTGCACCGGTTTAATTACGCACATATCTTGAGTATTTATTTATAGAAGATGGGATCCAGAGGGCTGGTCAGTCTTTTTGACTACTCTCAAATGGCCAGCCTTCTTTTTTTTCTGACAAATCTCTCAAATGGCCGGCTTGGTGAATGCCTGAATGCATGGTGACCATAGTACGTGGCCTCTTCCACAAGGGATGTTTGTTTGTCCAACATGCATGTCCATTCAAAGGTAGATTTAAATTTCCGTGCGGTACATATACATACGTGACGCCACCAAACACGACTGCCCACGGTCGGCGCCGCAGGGTGGCACAAGGTCCCGACGCCCACGGTCGACGGTGCGTAGGCCCGAGGTCGCGAGCAGGCGTGCGAGCAGCGGCGGATCCAGGCATGATTTTGTTTTTTTTAATAATACAGAAAGAATGCAGTGAAACCATTAGACCTCTCCTGAAGTATTCTTATCTAATGAATCATGAAACATATTTATATGTGATACCATGCCATGTTTAATCATCTTGACATGTTAGCAACACAGAAAAGAAAAAAAATCATATTATATATGGTACTCTGGGATGTCAGTATCTACTATTTTGTTTGGAATGGACTTTC